CTCCTCTCTGTCAACGCTCTCTGGTTTCATTTAAAAGAGTCGATCATCAGATATTGTCCAAGATTAACCTTCAGGGTGGATAGAGCTCGCTCACATCGAGGACTTATCCACGTCATTATTTACCCAGAATGCTTTGCGTGTAAATAAAATGGCTCTGTCTGTGTTAAAATATGTTTTTAAAATTTTACAAAACTTAACCAGCCTACAGTATTTTTACAGTCTTTACTTTACAGTTAAAATAAATGTTTATGTCTAATGTTACAACTAATCCTGGATCCCTTTAAGGTACCAGTTATTATTACTCTTCACTGCTAGAAAATACGCCCGGGTCCTTGAACAKTGTACAGCAGCCGGGCCCAGCTGTTGTGCTATTTGCCCAGAATTCGTCCTGTGTCACATCCTCAATAAAAACGTCATGTACAACTTAAGTACTGCAGACAAGGCCGTAACGAACGCTGCTCTGTGTAATCAACTGTGTAAACGCGGCGTTGTAATTAAGACGCAGAAAAGCTTTCCCCTAAATTAGGTCGTCAAGGTCAAGATGAGATGAAGAAGACTGGTGTACGGAGGTACACATGACACATATACACAGCAACACATGAGGCTGCAGGATGTTTGAACATGAAGACTAAGAAACTGAAAGCATGCAGAGGAACAATCTGATTCTGTTTTGGATACATCCATCCATCCATTTTCTGTACACGCTTCTTCCTTTTCAGGGTCGCGTGGGTCACTGGTGCCCATATCCAGCAGTCACAGTGCGAGGGGCAGGGTACACCCTGGACAGGTCTGTTTTGGATACAGAATAATGTATATGCTGCTGTTTCTCATTACAGTCTATTCTACATATTTATCAGGTTTATAGCTGACATGGTGTGAAATGCTCCCCGTTTGGAGCTACAGACTCTGGCAATTATAAGATAGCCACTTATTAAGCCCTTAGGAATGAATCAACCCCTTCGTGTTGTCATTTGCTGTAATAAAGAAAGATGAATATGCGTCTGGTGTTCTAGTTTTAGAGGGCTTTTTTCTGAGCAGGGACACACTTTTGATCTGTATCACAGCGATTAATTGCAAGCTGCTCTTATCCAAACATGCAATTTGAGATCAGAAGCTAAAACGCTTCAAAACTCACCTTATCCGCCTGCCTCATGTAGCAGTAGAGGATCCCTCTCATGCACTTGATAGCAGAATGCTCCAGTTCATGGGTTCGACCCAAATCATCATCAATACGTCTGGAGAACAGGGAAAGAGATAATAATACATGCTTCAACTGATGCGGTATACACTGGATCTGTTCTAAAAGTAACTGCTGATATTGCTGAGAACATAGCACAGATACATAAACAGAAAGAAAAAGGTACGTTTTAAGGACTTTGTTTTAAATCTGATTTTCTGTACAAGTCCATCTTCAGCTAAGCTCGTTGGTATATTTTCTAATAGCATTTCAGGCTGTYAAATTAAAAGAAATGCACAAAAACATCTTGTCGTTAAAAAAAGATGAAAGAAAAAAAAAGACAGGAACAAGTAGTGTTTTTATTGACCAACATCAAAATTGAAAGACTTCAGTTCTGCTGTAATTATCAGACTACAAGCATCTGACAACATAATAAGCAAGAGCTTATCCAACAATAATCAGGGTCAAGAGTAACATAACAAACCCTTCAAACTTAATTATTCTGAAAAAGAAAATGGGAGTCTCAAAAATTACACAACTAAAATATTAAAAAGGACATGTTTTTTCTGGGACTTTAAAACCGGAAAAAAATCGAAAACAAATATTGCAGAGCAAATACAAATTAAAAAAATTAAAAATAACACATTATGGGTGCTTAGAATAAGAGTTTGTGGTAATTTCTACCCCGAGTTTGGTCACTGAATGTCACACACACGCACACGCACACGCACACACACACACACACACACACACCGTCACACACAGCAGCACACTCTGAAGTAAGTAATGGCAGTAGCCAAGGCTGTCAGATGAAAATCATCTTAATTAAATCTCAGTGACAATTCTAATAGGAGGCAGGCATGACTGATGACTGGGATCTGCCGCTGGTCACATCACTGAAGTCCTCTCTATTTTTACCCCTCTTTCTCATCCTGTCTTCCCCCTCCATCTCATTTTCTCCCTCACTCATCCCCTCTATGCCTTGTTTCTTCTTCCTATCTCACTTATGTCCTCGTTCACAGGTCCTCTCCTTCTGCCCACCTTGCCTCTCGACTCCCCTCATATCTCAACCTTCACTCTTTCTCTCTGCAACATCCACTTTTAATTCCTTTCTTACAGTTTTCCTTTTCTTCATATTTTCTTCTCTGTCCTTTGTTTCTTCTTGCTCTTCTTTAGAGTCACCCTATGGAAGTGTTTTTTTTTTCTTCTCTCAACACACCAGTTACTGAGGAATGGCATTATGTAAAGGAGGGACAGCTGATAAAGATGTTTGGGAGATTTAGTAAAATTCTAGGATTCTTGGTCTGATCTGCTTTGTTCTTTTCAATTTTGCACCCAGAAACGTTTTAAATTATATTCACTTGTAACCATCAGCTTTGGTTTTCTTGCACAGCTACAAAAACATATTAGACCACACATATCAAAGTAAAGTCCAGCGGGCCAAATGTGGCCCGCCACAGCATTTTATGTGGCCCGTGAGAGCTTCAAAGATGTATTAATTGGCCAGCATTGGCCATAAACTACATCTCTCATAATGCATGTCGATCATTTTATCTGCAAAATGACAGCATCCCACCACTAGATGGCGATGCACAGGTTTTGAAAGTAGTCGTTAGCTGGTGAAATTTGCAGAGTAAAATCTCCATTTCACTGCATTTTTTGCTGCAGCCCAGTATTTCCCACTTACAAATAATACACTTAAACAGGACTGCCCCTCCAGTGGGAAATCCCTGTCAGAAAGTGGGTGAATTCAGATTTAAAGATGTCTACTCACCACAACTCAATGAGTAAAACTAACTTACTTTTAATTTTAAAATTATTTCTGAGATATTTATGTCACATTTAGTCAGTRGTACATGTAGCACTTTTCAGCTTTTATAAGAGAATGGGTAAAAATGCTGTTTCTATGCAGGAAATATTATGTAGAACTCTACGCTACTGTTTGTTACCCCTAATTTACACTACATGTGTCTCCACTCCGCTGCGGTCCGACCTTTGCAGCAAATACACAACCATTTTAATCAATAAGTGTATTTACACTGGTTCCGAAAGGCTGCGCAGGGCGGCGGTGAAAGGARGGTGATATGGCAAAATTAGAACCGATCCTATTTTTGCCAGATGCTGGAGCTGCTCCAGAGACAATCTACAAAGATCACATGGCACCAACAGGAAAAGGAACAAGAATAACATCCGTATCTTCAGAATAAGACACCATAAGGTGGAATAATTTTGTCGAAATCCCAGCTATATTATGGATAAATTTCTACACAAACATTGTCAGAATGTATCGTTCTGTTTGGGAAGCAGATGGCAGCATGTAGCATGAAGCATATGTGTACACACACGATACACATGGATTTTATTTTGAAATCCGAAGTTTCAAAAAGACGACAGCGATACAGTTTCAACCATAGATATCAAAAGCTTTTATATCATTGTTTTCAGCTGTGTTTGGAGTTCGTCTTTCACAGAATTCATTATTTTTGCTCTGACTTCCACATTTATCACTGGATTTATCGCACAATCTCCTTCCTGCACACACTTCCTCCTCTGTGTGTCGCACTGGAGCGGAGCTGAGCGGAGAGGACGCTGTATAAATTGGGGTGCAAACAGCTGCGAACTGAGCACCGCAGCGGAACAGAATCGCACGTAGTGTAAATCCGGGGTCAGCGTTGCTCAGCCGTAGCAATGAGACGAAGAGCGTGACATTTCATGTTTGAATAAAGTAAAAATATGAAATGTCAAAGTCACGACCCAAATGGAGGTCGCACAACTCCAAGTTGCCCATATAGTGCTGATAAATCTGACCAGTGCAACACAGAAGAACCCAACCCAAATATCTTGAGACTTTTCTGCAGTTACAGAAAATAATGAAAGATATTTTACATTTGTATAGGCAGTCTAGCTCTCTATCATGTAATAACATGCTCCTGTCATATTTTACATTTATATACGCAGTCTAGCTCTGTGTCAAGTAATAATGAATTACTGGCATAATTTTGAGCACTTCGTTAATTAATGAAATTAGTTTTTAATAAAATAAGTCCTGAAATAAAGCACACAATGTAAAATTCCTCATCTGCCACAAAATTTAATGGCTTACCATAAAATAAAAATGAAAAAGCTGTGCTTTCAAAGTTTCTATGATTAATTTGTTAATTAAAAAATAATAATATTTTAAATTTTATGTATTGTTTACACTATATAACACACATTATGGTTAATGAATTTGTCCTTTTTAAATCAGTGAAAACACACTGTGACACAATGTTTTTTTAGACTTTTCACAATGAACTTTTAGTTTACATATTTAATGGTAAGGACACATTTAGTTGCTCACACATGAACCAAACATTCTGTATACTGACCGGTATGCCAAACCTAGTGCCCAGGCACAAGCAGCACAATACAAGGAGTCCCGGACCTTTGCGTCTTTGCAGTTGGCGAATGTTCTCACAGGGAAAAGGCCAGTGGTGGGACTCTGATAGTTCAGAATGGTTGACTTGACTAAACAGAGAGAGAAACAGAGAGAAAAGAGAAGTTGTTACTCAACAGTTCTTGCAAAAACAGAAAAGATATGCTTGAAACCACAGCTGCTGAAACACCAGTGAATGCAGCACAGGTAACAGTCAGTGTAGAGAAGTTTCTCTCCTTACATATTGTTTTCAAACTATCTTTTATGCAAGATGGTGCCAGTGTGTGGCTTGTTGTCTGCCTGCGAAAGTCAATTTCTGTGCTTTTTCTGGAAAATGGAGACTCTGTTTGTGTATGACCACCAGGTACTTATAAATATTCAATCTGCTGCTCATAAACTTGAACAATGAAACTTTGCAAATCAAATAACATCCCACCCTGTCCTTTCTATCAGATGTTTCTGCCTGTGTGCTGTGGCCCTGTTCCACCTTGGCTGAGTGGGTGTCTGAGGTGCCAGGGAAGAGGTGGTGGAGATCTTTCAGTGTGGTGTAGAGCTTTTAAAGTGAATGCAAACTGGCAATGAGATTTAGAAAATTGCAAAAGGGGCGCCACCTAAAACCTTGACTGGGGTGTCAAATTGACTAGGGCCTAGATCYCCAGCAAACTAAACTTTTATTCTAAAAGACTTCCCTACCCTTCGTTATTTGGATTTTACATTGTGACTGAAACTGGGCAAAGTGTCGGAGTGTTCAATTTTTCCTGAACTTTTACCCATAAACTGCACGTATTTTAAGGCACCAAGAATTTTGAGATGTGGTGAAGGAGTAGCCTCTGATATGCCATGTTAGGTAGTATCAGAGCTGTAATGGCCACTATATGAAAGGTTAAAGGTTAAATTATTGATGGACACTGCTGGCTTGACTGTTGCGTAATGAGTAAGACAGCTTAAAGAAAAGCTCATTAGACAACTATACATGCTGGACAGATTGTATCTAATAGCTGGCCTGGGAACGTCTCAGAGCCAAAATCCTCTGGGAAGCAGGAGATCACTGTTGAAGCTCTTGCCCCTCATGGATAAGCAAAGGATGAATGTAACGATGTTCAAAACACAATTAGATCTAAAACATAATTTTTAATGTAGAATAGATTTTTTTGTGATAACTGTCTTTAGTAAAAATATATATATTCAGAGGACTAAACTTAACATTCAAAGCAATTTTTATTTCCTGCTGTAAAGTAATAAGCATGTTTTCAACACTGTTGAATTTAGCTCCATCATCTAGACAGTTATTTATTTTAAAATGAATAAATCCATTTTAAATACTGTATGGGTACAAGAAAAAAAAATACATCCATTTATACATCTTCAGTTTCACTACAATGTAGTTTGAAACTAACGTCTACAAATGATCCCAGAGATACCAAAAAGCTGAGGAAACATCACAGGAGATAACGAGGATAGATATTTGTTTGGAAATAATGGACACAGTGCATTCAGCTGGGCTGTAATATGACAATGTGACCACGGTAAAGGCAGGAGCAAGAACATCTCGGAATGCTGAACAAAGAACAACCTCAAAATTAGCGACCAAGGACAGAATGGTTCAAAGCTCCAAATGCATAAACAGACCGTAGCCCTCCGGTAATATATGCTGAAATATTACATACGGAAACAGGGTCTTGGAGACAGTAATCACACATCTCTCTCCAGCAGAGGTACCCTCATTTGATGACTAATGTGTCTAGAGGGATCGCTTCATTTTTCATCAGAACATTATGCTGGTGCAAATGAAAGGGGAGCATCCATTTCGGACCGCAGTTTGTTCTAGAACAGATAAGAAAAAGATCCGGGAGTGACTGCAAGAGACCAAAAAGGACAGAGACGTAAGAAGGAGAGATCAAGATGATAACTGTGTGTGTGTGTGTGCGTGTCAAAAACCAAATGACAAAATGTGTGTCGGTTAATAAAGCTCTAGGATTAATGAGTACTACAAGAGTGAGACGAAGCAGTGAAAACGTCTATCGGTGGCCATAAATTTGTCAACTGAAGGTGGCAGTCACATTGGCAGCAAGATAAAATGATTGATTGTGTGAATTAGGAAGAATATAAATAAACCTCTTAAAAAGCACGCCTCTTTGTAAAGTACTGATGAAGACCTCTCCACACATGGAGGCACGCACGATCCAAGAAAAATGTGTTTTTACTGAACCAAAGGCCATTCTCTGGACTTCATACAAGCTGATGTGTGCTTGTGGCACAAAATGAATAAAATAAAAACAGATTAAAGTTGTTCATCATTCAAAGTGCGTGGCATTATGAGAAGATCCAGGGAGTCAGGGGAAATCTTAATGCATTAACGCTTCACTACTGGATGCGCATGAGTGATCTGCACATGTGTAAATGTACTCTTTATCTAGAGCTAAACTGGATTTTCAACTTACTGCTTCATAGGTACAGAATGTCATGCTTGACTGCTTAGCGAGTCAGATCAGTCTCCTATTGAAAATGCATGACTTATCATGCAGAGAAGCAGCCAGTAAGATGAGAAGAAACACACCACAAATGGTTGAGAAGCCGAAACGATGGACCCAGCAAGAGAGAATATGCTAAATTCAAATAATGAGTATCTTCAGTTCTCAAATGAATAAGAACTGTAATTAAAAAGACAAAAAAGTAACGCAGTGGTAAACATGCATTTTCAAACATAGCTAGAAACTATTCAGTTTTTGTGACCAATATGTTCACTGCCTGCTGATTTTAGCTCAGGAATTTTGGTCGCAAGATTATGTATTTTAATCTGATGAAACTGGATTTGATATGTCACATGGTGTGTTAGTGAATGTGAGTGTACTAGCTGCCCCATTCAATAGAAACACGTTTAACATTCTGCTTTGTCTCAAATCACCCCACTGTTTACCACAATTTAATTAAAAGACAAAGTGTTTTATTTTGAATCACATCTCTGCTATGTGGGCCTGCTTCATCAAAAACATTAAACTATATTTTACTCATGGGTGTAAAACTCAATTACACTAAGGGGCCAAAATTCACATTTGGTCCAAGTAATAGGCCAATTTTTGTAAATATTTATTGCCTTTCAGGACACCCAAGGACAAAATATATATTATATCTTATATAACACATTATTCTTATAAAGATACAAATGACCTTTTCCAGATTACCAGTATGTTTACTGTAGCATTTAGAATGCACATACAAACAATGGGCCTCATGCAAGAACCGTTCGTACGCACAGATTTGTTCTTAA